ACATTTTCTTAGTTTTTATCTCTATTTAATTGAAAGTGAAACCAAAAAATTCCACAAAATATCAATAACTTTGCTGTCATTTCAGAGCCATTCTGTTGTCTACTTATCTAAATAATAATGATATATTAGTTTAATTTAAAGTCAATGTTAAATATAAATAAATTGCTTAAAAATTCACATCAAACTTTAAGATTACTTAAGACATTACGAAAAATATAATCTAATATTAATTCATTGTCAAAGAATTGTTCTTGACAATAGATATTGAGTACAAATCTAATTAGCACTTTCAAAATAGTCAAACACAATTGAATTTTCATAATTAGTATAAATCTATGACTTTTATCACGTAATCTTCAGAGACTAATATATACGCCCAAATTGGACACAAAAAACTGCTTTCCCTTTCATTTGTAACATAAATAACCACAGAATCCGTATATATCATACAATTCTAGTGTTAGAGTAAACTTCCTTAACATATTGCATGTTAAATATTTTATTGTTAATTAGTATTGATCTCAAAACAAACAAAAAATTATATATTTTCGTAATCATGTTATGACTCATTGAGAAACCAATTCAGTAAGTGATTACATTTGACACTCAATTTGTCACTATTTTCTATATACGAAAGCAATTTGTAAATCAATTTTTCAAAATTAAACTCACATTTAAAAACACCTTCACTTTTACGTTCAGTTTTATGGCATCACTTATCAAATCTATTTATATTTGATGTCAATTCGAGTCGAAAATACAATTTTACTATAATTTCAGTTTTATTTTTGACAAATAAAAACTTGTTATTCAACTTGCAATTAAAATGCTAGTCCATTAATAAAGGTTAGAATAATTATTGGAAAATATTACATACTTTTCCTTTTTCTTGATATGTTTCACACAAATGATAAAACAGTTTGATTTTGTCTGGTATTAAAAATGTTAACTATTTTGTAGTAAATTAAGTTCACAAACAGTTCACAAAAACGCCTAAAAGTACTCATATTATCGATATTACTCATAATGGTATTGAATGTCTGTAAAACTACATTATATTTGGTATAATTTTTATTATAAGAATAACAAATATTTACAATTTAATGCCAAGAATTTTCATATGATTTCAAACCCTATTAAAAAACATGTTTTCCATATCATTGATTAAGTATTGAATTGATTTCTATTTTTGCGGCAACGTTCAATTAAGTAAAACATATTTTTGAAACATTTGTATGCTTTCTACATCTCAATGGAGTAAGAAATGCGAGTAAATTAGTAATAATAGTCTGTCTGTGAAATGATAGCATAGGACTCGACCTTCTATTACATAAAACATATGATTATAACAGAGAAAGTTATTCATTGTTTCAAACTAATGGCTTTGTGGCTATATTTTCGTGCAATTATTACGTACAGTATTTTAAACAAATGTATAATACTGTATATAATACAACATATATTTTACATACGATCTGCATGTGCCAAACACTACCAACATATTCAGGAATATATCCACACTTTCCCCATTCATACCAATAAAAAGCACTAATAACTAGAAATGACTCACAATCAGAGTAATTGAGAATTGAAATTTATTATATTATAAAAGTTATATTCAATATTACAGGTATTCTCTGAAATATGTAAATTTTAATATAGTATACGAACAAATATATGTTCAAAAATCAAGTGATTGAATGCATTGAGAATATCGTTAATAATTCATTAATAATTATGAAGGACAGAGAGGTTGTACTGTATTTGTGGGAATGGCACTCTATGTAATGCAATTTAATAATTAACTTGGAAAAACAATTATAATTGCAGCCTTAGTTAAATATAAGGTATGAAATATAACTTGTTTTTAAATTTAAATACTAATTACTATGAATGTGAATTTGATATACATGTGATATACATATATACTGTATACAAACAGCTGTAAATTTTAATTGAATATTATATTATAATATACAGTATTAATATTTTATTGTATCATATTAATATTTTAAATTATATTTAAATAATCCATTATATGCTATAAAATTGCAATACACTTACCAATTATTTACATTTTAAATGGCAGGAAATTTGCATAAAATATACATAAGTTATTATTAAATAAGCAAATAAATAAACTATTATAATAAAATCAATTAATTCGGGGAAAACATGTGACTAATGATGTTGCAATTGATGTACATACAGTAATAATTTATACACAATTAACACAAAAATTAGAGATCGACTAGTTTATATGAAATATTCTACAAACAATAATAATATATATTTTTTCGACATTTATATTTACTTACAATTTATTGATTTTGTCATATATTTCTCAAATACAAAGTCAAACATGTATTGAATAACACGAGAGAAATCGTTACAATTATTTTCAGAATAATTTATTAAGTTTTCCTTCAATACAATCAATTCCCGTTATAATTAGTATAAGATTTTAACAAAATTATTTACAAAATACAGTATAAAGTACACTATAATATACACAAAAGTAAACTAAATTTAAACTAATATTTATAACGCGATTCTGTGATACTTTTATATTATATTATTCGTGAATACGTGAGTGCATTGAAGTAAACAATAAACAAAATTCACAGAATTAGTAAAATACTTTAAAATACTAAAAGTAAAAGTTCTCAAGCATGTTTAACATGCAATCAAATATCACATTCACTTCTAAAGTGATTAGATTTGAATCTAATTCGCAAACAACTCCCGTGTTTCCAGTGCTGAACCACTCGTTGCATTGGCTTATCATTTGAATCGTTAGTTTTAAAATGTTATCTATGTTTCACATAATTCATAATTTAATATACAGTAAACTCCAAATGTGTTTATTTAATAAATAACAAGAGCCTACAGTATATTCAATATTGACATTTAAATAAATGTCTTTATTTAAACATACTGGATATATTCAGTTATTTATTTAATACTTCTATTATTTAGGGAGAATAATTATTTAAATGCATTTCCAAGTATAGCAAATACAGTAGTTGTATATTAGTCATCAATTCTGGTACTAAATACTTAAAAGTACTTAAAAGTCTAATTTTGAAATTATGCAAACATTTTTTATGAAGTTTTTAAAAATAATTTTAATAAATAAACAAACATAGAGATTGAAGTTTTATAATATGCAAAATTCATTAAACTAAAATTACATTGAAAATTATACAGTAGTATTAGTATTGTAATTGCTAATGAGTCTTTCAAAAAGATTAGATTTGCAAAATTACCTTTATTAAAAAATAATTCTCACAAATTGTTGTTGTTTTGTCTGTTAAATGAATTTTTTGAAGGACTTGCAACTAATTTGCATAAATATATGACACCGGTATTCAAGTTTTATAAATCTATACTACCCTCACTTGAGGGGAATTTTAATTTAACAAATCAATTGCAGACACAATCCCATGACTTTTAATCACACAAATGATGATAAATTAGCAAATAATATATACCTTGAGTGGTGATATCATTGATGAAAATTTTACTCTGGTCAAAATATACGAGTGTATGTACCAATGTTTCACAAATATTTGATAGACTGGTAGACTAGTACTCACAATAACTATAAGAATATTATGTAAAACTTTATTGTCAATGAACAACAGGATGAGAGTTAGCTTAACAAGTTAAATATTCAATATTACAATATATTCAATTGTTTCACTCAATTCACTGAATTTATTACAATTGACAGTAATATAGTTGAGATATCCGTTTAAATGTTTAATCATATATTGTAAACAATTTGTACAGTTCATAATACTTTTTTGAAGGGTAAAGGAGATAAATTTAATTTAAATAAATAAGTTATCTCGGTTTCAAAAACTTATTAATTTAATACTTCAAATAATATGAAAGACTTCTTTTCACACTTGTCTTGCACTTTAACTTCAAAGCAACACTTATTTTTAAAAATTTTAATACTCGTAAAATTAACAATATATTTAATATGGTAGCAATATAAAATTTTAATTATGATTTAGCACTTAATAAAATATTTAATATCATTTTTAGTTACATATTCAATGATACTATAATAAAAGTAAATTACAAAATAATTGGCAATGTTACTGTTCACTAATCTTTGAGACAAGATTGAGGATAATTTGCTCTGAAATTTGTATTTGTATTTACCATTTGAATCAATGGTATAGAAGAATATAAAATTATTTATTCCTTTGATTTAAACTTAATTTTCCTTAACTTGTCGAATGAGGTGAACGATATTCAAGTCAATTGATTTGCAATCCTATACTTTACTACCAGCGCTGTGGCGATGACATAGTTAGCCATCATATCTATCGCACAGATATGAAATTGAAACCAAAAATTAAAAACTCATAAATAGTATACATTTGTTAGAAATAATCACTTTCGATGAGAAATATTTTTGTCAATTTAGTATCGATTATGTGATTGACTTATATTTATTATGTTTAATTGTATTCCTCACAACGCTTAATAATATATTAAATTTTATAGAAAATGTTTTAAAAGTTGAGTTCATTGAAAATATTGATTTCAAAATCATTACCCAATGTAACATAAAACAATTGTGAAATATCTCACAAATATTCCGGCTAGTTTAATCACCAATTATTCAAATTATTATCAATAAACTGTTATCTCAATAAAATTTAAAATTAAAACTAAATTTCAAACATTTGTCGTACGATATTATAAAATATAAGTTAATAGTGCACATAGCACCTGTAACAAATAGAAACCAATGCTTAATATTTAAAAACTTCATTTTAATAGTCATTAAAACAACAAAACGTTTTAATGTATGGCAAAGAATTCAATTACAAATTAATTAGTAAATATATTATACACAGAAAATGTCCATTTATTCAAAACAATGATTGGTTGAGCAGTTATTTGCAATTTTGTTAATAAATTAGTGTCTCAATTGAAAAATATAAAACAAATAAATAAATAAAGATTTTCATTGCAATGGCAATAAACTCTTAAATTGCATACAAGAGTGAGGTTTGCGTTGCGATAAAGTAAGCGTCAAATATGGGGGGCAGTGGCAGAGCCGTCGCCAATGAGTCTCTGGTAGTGGTTGGGCACCAAAATGGAGTTCAGGGAGGGCTCGATACTAAGCTCGTGTTCCGTGAAGTCGAAAAGGGGGGGCAAATCGCGGGGTTTGGCGAACGGGTCGGGCGCCCACTTCTTGCCCGGCTCGCGGAGCTCGTCGAACAGCGAGTGGGCGCAGGCATGGAGGGCACCGATACGTAATGAGGGCTTGTATTCAAATATCTTGAGCATCAGATCGATGGCTTCGGACGGAGTTTTGGGCGGAAACAGTGACTGAAGGGGTCGGGGCTTGATTTGCGGCAAATCATACTTCACGTAGTTGTGGTTCAGCTCCTGGATCTGGTCCTTCGTAGGCGTTCCCAATTTGCTTATGATTAGCACGAGCTGATCGATACACGACTGGCCGTGAAATAGGGGTTTGCCTAACAAGAGCTCAGTGAACACGACGCCCACCGACCAGATGTCTGTCCATTGGGTACAAAATACAGTTAAATATATGCTTACATCGACTCAATCACGACTGCATACCAATCATATTCGTGTAATCCGTGGCCCCAAACAGTAGTTCCGGTGCTCTGTAATAACGGGCGCAGATATACGACACATTGGTCTGACCCTTCACTAACGGTTTGGCACTAAATGGGACACAAATACAAGACATTCAAACGGACTGCCAATGGGTTGGACACTGCACGCTGCAAACCTTCCGAAATCACAGACTTTAAGGACACCAGAGTTGGCGTCGAAGAGGAGATTATTGGGTTTGATATCTCGATGACAAATGCCCTTCGAGTGGATGTACGCCAACGCTCTCAGCATCTGATATAAGCAGAGCTTAATCGTGAGGAACGGCAGTCCGAACCGAGGGTTGCATTTGTCGGTCAACGAACTCAGCGTCTGCGGGATGTACTCCATCACCAAATTCAAGACAATGTCCGACTGTTTCTGAGTGTCAAACACATAAACGCTATGTTATTACAAGACATTCGCGGATATCACAAGACATTACAAGACAGACATTCGTGGACTCAATGCACACCTGATTCGAGTGATCCTTCACTTCTTGGAGAAAGAAATACAAGAGAGTGACCACATTCTGATGCCTTAATGAGCGCATTAGTGGCAGCTCTCGGTTCCGGTATCTCTTGTCCTGAAGAACTTGTTTGACGGCAACTGTTCTGTCGTTGAATTGTGGCAACACTCCGATGAATACCGACCCAAACGCTCCCTTCCCTATGAACTGGCCTATGGATCAAACGAGACAATGAGCCACACCGCCGAAGACACCCAGGGATGAGCTGATACTCTACCTAATCGGTAGTAGAGGTCGATCTTGTCGTTATCGGTTCCGTAGCCCTCGATGGCCACCACTTTATACATGTTTTGCGTGGCAGTGGTGTCCCGTCTGGAGCCGTGTCTGACCACCGATGGCGCCGATGTCTGTCCATTGAGTCGGCAGATCAATGGCAACGGTTGGGACACGTCTTCGCTCATCGCCTAATCACTGACTTGTCGTCAAAAACGGATGTAATTAACGATTGAAACCATAATTAACAGCATTTTGAGCGCATATTTGAGCCAAAACTGGAGTCGCCTTTCATTTCCCATTCATTTACTTGTGTTTCAAATCCCAAACACTTTTTGCCCCCAAAATAGGCCACAAATAATACCCCAAAGGGTTGAGTCATTTCATATTCAATCCCCCGATTTTGACCATAATTTTTGGTTATCCATTCATTATACCCTGGTCATTGTCGTATAATTAAATGTTTAATTTGTTTGTTAATTAAAATATGGTTTAAACATGGTTAAATTAATTTAATTTCAATAATTTATTAAGTTTTGTATTTTTCCCTAAGTTTTAGTCTGATTTATAGTATTCATAAATACTGTGAGAATATGAGTGATATTTGACTCCCTATAGAGTAATTGTCACGTGTTTTGAGCGTTGATTCAATGTGTGAATGATTTCCAATGCAAACCCTTTTCCCACATATTATTTGTCGTCATTTATTATCTGCGAACAACTGATGGGGTTTTTTGCACCATTGATTTAAACGTAAATTTATGCCCTTTTCATACAATATCACATATGTTTCAAATACTATTTCACTACTACAAAAGGTACCAAATTACACATGTATTACACACTGTCACACAAAAAGCAGATGAAAAAGTTTTCATTCAAGTAAAACGCGCACAAAATTATGCGAAAAAAGTTAGTTAACTAACTCCACAGAAAACTTCATTAAATGAACTAATCCTCACAATTAACACAACTATAAATCGGTTGCCAATCACTAAACACGTGCGCAAAACATACGCCAAACTGCGGGCGCATTGAATGCCAGTCGCAGTCTCATAGCGAAAGTGAGCCGTAATTGTCGCGCAAAGCGTGCATTGAATCCCATGTGAGCCCAGAGTTGAATCGTTTGCGCCTTTTATTCAATCATTGTTTTGGACTTTTAATTGCAAACCAATTGTCTTCAGACACACCGTTCACAGTGTGACCACGAATTGTCTTCCGGAGTGTCATACGTGTGTCCCTTCGGGCGCCGCAGTCATGGAAGAGGATCCCGATGTCATACTTCTGCAGGTGTTTCTGGAGGAGACGTTTCACACGACGGAACCGATCCGCGAGAAACCGATCCAGACGTCCATCGACAGGGTGTGGATCAAAGACCGGCGCCATAAGTATGTGACACACAATGGCGTGCGCGTCAAGAGCGAGGAGCCGGTGCTGAAACCCACTCTCAACCAGCGTTTCCAAGACCTCCAGAGCCAACGCCAGGCGGCGGGCGTCGTCTTCGAGACCGATCCCACGGTTGGCGACGACGAGGACTTCGAGGACGTGGACGACGAGGACGAAGGTATGACACACTCGCGCGCCGTATGTCTGGTTGCGGTGTGACTAATATCTTGTGGCCTGTATTTGCAGAGGACTTGTCGACGGGTCCGACAGCGATGGCGCGCAAGAATCGACGCAAACAAATGGTGACAATCGCGCAGAAGCTGAAGAAGCGCGCGATCGCCAACCGGTTGGGCGTGTCGTATATGCCCGGACACAACCGCTTGCGACCGACACTCGCGGCCGCCAACAGACCCGTCGCTAAGAAGAGTTGGGCCGAAAAGTTCGGCCGACTATTGGCGGCCAAAAAGCTGCTGTATTTGCCGCTACTGTTACGCAAGTATAATACCGGCCCCCGAAAGACGCGCCAAGAGCTGGACATGGAGTTAGACCTCTATATGTCCGAAATCAAGGGCCCGAAGATGCAGTTGGCCTTCAATGACATCACAAACGCTGTGAACAACGGCGGCGACATCAACAGAGGGTTCAATGTCGTGGACACCAAAGAGCTGTTGAGTGGCATCGGCGGTAAGGGCTGGCGTAAGAAGATTAAGGAACAGCCGGCGCCCGAAGTGGTGAAGGAGGTGCTCGACATGGAGATCGACTCGTATATGGCCGGCAAGGATAAGGAGCAGAGAGAGCCCATTGTCTTCTCAGTGGAGGAGATGGACACGAAGGAGGGGCTGGACATCGATTTGGATGAGTATATGGCAGTCGTCAGGAAGAAGGCGCCGCCGAAGACGCTGATGAACGGCACGACGTGATCTCATTACCACTCCCTCCACTATAATGTCATATATATTCGCAATTCATTGAAATATTTGAAATATTTTTTATAACCATTTGTTTATTTTGCTTAAGATATCGTTATGTTTAGTATTTTTGTTCATTTTTATAATGCCATAGAAACTAATGTTTTGTTTTTCATTTTTGTTTAGATGTTTTATCCAAATGATAGTCATATGTTTGGATTATTTTTTTTGTCTTCATATTTACATTGATTGTCATAATTATTTGTTGAATTTTGTTGAGAAACTCATTTTCACGAATACTGTACCTGTTAATCATTGAACCAATTTGTATATTTGCGATACATCTCAATCGATAAGTCAATTGTTTTGGACCACTGTTTGGTTCTTTAAATCAGAAATTTATTGCTTTTTTATTTGAATAAAACTCATGCCAAAGGCTTACGATAAATGTGTGGTATTTTATTTGATGCCTATTATTGTGTACTAATGTACAGTAATTGTAAATTACTAATTAATGTTGATTCTGGTTTGTTTACTCTAGTTATAGTCTAGTGTTAAGTTAAGTTTGATTTAATAATTTAATAATTGGATCTTTATTGTGCAAAATAGTGCAATTCTATTCAATGACAATTGTTATAACAAAATATTTGAATATGTAAAAGATACTGTAACACCTTACTGTGTAATTATGAATTGTGTACAATTATTTACAATAAAAAGCTAAACTTGCAAGTTTACAGTACATTTAGAATCTATCGTAATAATAAGTTATTCAGTACATTACAACAGTTAATACGGTAATAAGTTAGTATCGGCAAAATTAGTAACAGGGTATAATGTTTGTTAAGCTAGATAAAATTTAATTTGTAATATACAGTACAGGCTTTATACCCATAAATTTATATAAAATTTATATCAACATAGTATTTTTAATACCGATTAATAATCCTATTTAAATTAAAATTTAAATAATAAATTAAAAGTTTCTGACTTAATTAGTTTCTAATACTAGTACTGTATTATACACAATCTATTTCATAGGTTTATAACTAAAAACTATTATACTTAAATAAAAAGGGATTGAAATTAACCATAATAAATGAAAATATTTGCACATGGAATGGAAATCAACAATTATAAATTGATAAATATTAATATAGAAACATAAAAGTATAGTTATGCCGATTTGCAAATGAATTTTCAAACTTTGAAATCCAAACCAAAAGCCTTTTTCAAAAGCTATGATCGACTCATTGCGTGATACTTACGATGTGTTTCGAGAAATTAAGAAACAATTTGTGAGACAAATGTTTAATCATTTGGAGAAATCTAAATACACTTTTTTATGCACACAATAATTACAGGCTCACATATAATTTGCAATTTCTACACATGTTTTACCAAACGCTGTAAATTAATAGCATTTAATACAAATTGAGTGTAATTTTGTAATTGTTTTAAAAGTTTTATCTGATTCACAAAACTTACGCTTTTGTTTGTGATTTATAACAATCTTATTACTCGTGTTTAGTGTGAATGCTATTAGATTTAATTAGCTATTATCACAAATTTATTGTTAGTTAAGAGTTTATA